TGTCCCCTCCCTCTCACTTCTCATCTCTGCTTGACATGCGGTCATCTCACTTCATTCCGGGATGGCTCAGCAGTGCTTTAAAACATTGCTACTATCCTCCCATCCCATCCTGCTCAATTGCAGCGGGCATCGAGCTTCATTGGCCAGTAGAGATCTGTTCCTGCTGCCTATACGTCTTTTTCCCTCCATCTCCAATGGCTGCCTGCATGCAGGCAGAATCCTCAGCACCATCCTCCATTACTTCCCTATTTCGCCCTTCTTCCTGTGTGCCCTGCTCAGGTCTCACACATGCACTCACACCAATTCGCACACAATGCTAAGTGCAGGCGTCCTTCTCGTCATGTTTGGTTTGTGCTGGGGATTGTTTTGTGAGGAACTCGCGGATCCTTCGCATAAGCGTTCTCAGAAAGACAGAAAGAAGTAGAGCACAGTAGCACTGACGAGAATGAATGACTTGGCACTTAGATCTATTTAGGGCATTAACACACTGAATAAAACAAATGCACATGACACGTTCTGGGTGCTGTGATGAAGCTTTGATAGGCCCCCTTTTCAGTGTCTCTCAGCAATGTGAGTGTTTCTTTTACTCCGCGGGGTCTGCTGCCTTCTTCATATTCTGAATAATATGGATTTTGAATATTTTTGCCTTTACACGTCCACATGGAAAGGATCTGCCGTTTGAACTCGCACTCCCCCAGCCTGCCTAGCACTTAATTCCTTATTATTCAGAGATTTCCTTGGCGCCGTCCCTCTTGGATGGAGCCCGCCCCGCTGTCCCCGGTGGTTCACAGGAAGACACGGCAGGCTTTCAGCGGTGGCTGCGCGAGTCGTATCAGGGTTTAGCGCCGAAGCCACGCAGGAAGCCCGATCTCCGTGCTCCAATCGAGTGTGTACACCTTTGGTGTCAGAGTAACCTTGGTGGTGCTCATGACGGCGTGCAGATACACACACAGAAAGCTGCCACAGCTGTAGGCCACCTGAGTTTAGATCTAGTTTCACAATCAGTGAAGAACAGACAAAATCCACGTACAAACACATGTGAGATAATCCACCCTGGTCGTAGGCCTCCTCTCCCAATACAAAATCATCTCTGATCTTTTCTCCAAGTCCGAATCTCGTTAATCAGGAAATGAGTTCTGGTGTATACATTACACATTTGGAATTGAGATGGACTAAGTGAACGCAATTTTTCTCTTTTTAGTCTACTGGCCCTTCCCGCGTTGGGCGTAGTAAGAGTCGCTGTGAGTAATTTCTGCTCATGGACGTATGGTCTCATATTTCGTCCCCAATGTGCTTGCATTGCTCTCCTCTGTGGTGGGATAGAAGCTAATGACTCACTGGAAGTCCGTCTGGTGTTTATCAAATGTCCCAGTGCAGCGCCGGTGGTCCACAATCGCTGTGCCCCCTTTTCACATCGTACTGTATTGGTTAAAAAGCCAAATCCCTGGTGATGGGATCCTCGTACATAAAAAAAAGAAAATAGCGGAGAAGCTCTCTGCTCTCATCTCTCGATTATATCACTCCGCCCTTGGGTTGCGGAGCGTTCTACTCTGAGAGGGGGATGAGTTGAATAACCTCAGGCTGTCATCCGTAAGTGCCCTGATAAGAATGTATTAAGGACCTGCATGTGTCAGATGTGTTGAACCTACACACATAATACGTCAGTTCTGTCAGTCGGGGAGGCTTTTAAAGCAAGTACATATTTTAGTTGGGAAGGCTCAAAGGTTAGGGTTGCCATAATTGTCAACCCCCTTTTAAGGAAGGGGGTTGACAATTATGGCCCGTGTGCACAAAGGGATCAGAGACAAAGGGGAAGTGAATGAAGTTGTGCGACCACGAGTTCAACAGTCCCTAACAAATAACTTGGACGAAAGAACCGGATGAATCAGAGAGTAAGCAAAAAAGAAAAGAAGTCTGCGGATTTTAAGCCGCGTTCACTCTCTGGTACGCTGCAGCCACAGCCAAGAACAAGGCGGGCAGGAAAGATTGTAGCCGATTCCTCTCAGCCCGGACACAAACTCTTTCAGCCGCAGGAGGCTGACCAGGACCAAGGACCGTTACCTCTCGCCACATAGTTTTTTTCTACATAATAGAAATAATTTAACGGAGTTAACGTACCTTTGTTTACTACCGGAAGTTGACCGCGGAAACGAAACGGCCGCTAGCTGCAGTCAGTCACATCAGAGAAAGCAGGACGGTAGCTCAAGATGGACAGAGCTTTTTGCATTGGAAGTAAAACAAACGGAGGCATGTCTTACAGTAGAGAACTGTGCAGAGGTGAGCGGCAAACGGACCACTTAAGGCACCGCTAGGCTAAACTAGCTGGAAGAGTTGCTAGTTCCACATGTTCCACTCGGTGGAATTCTGCCTCCAAGATGATCAAATGTGTGTAGTTTTGTGTTTAAAATAACACTATAACAATTAAACAACATTGTCTAACATACACACAAGTGATTACTCATTACTTGTAGATAGATCTATTGACAGCCCTATTATTTTCTTCTCATATTGCACCAATTCACCAGGTCAAATTCCTCTGTGTAACATATTTGGCAATAAATGGCTTCTGATTCTGATATTTGTCTATTTTTAAATCAAATAAGTTATGACTCAGTGGGAATGAAGCACGAGTAAAAGCATGAAGACAAATTGAGCGTCACTGTGGCCTCTCGAGACACTTCAGAGTTTAGTCAGCCTCTTCGTCTTCCTCTGCTTCAGCCTTCTTTTCTATTAAAACCAAACTTCCCAAAACTGTGGTTTTCTAGTGGACCTCATTCTTCGATATTTAAAGCTCTAAAATGTATTTTATTCTTCGCTCGCTCTTGATCTCAAATCTGGCATTGATGTTTCGTAGCATGCCTTCAGATTTCTCAAAGATAGATTTTGCTTTTAATTACGGGAAAGAACTTTTTCATAGCAATGCTATAGTTTCATGTCATCATCTGTACTACGTGATCTTCTGTGGTATGAAGAAGAATGGTACTCAAGCAGCATCTGTGGATCAGTCTGCTCCTAATTGGAGTGATCATCAACATTCTGTCCTGTTTTCTCCAGTTATTCTAAACCACATTTGGAGGACCTCTGCTGAGATCCATAACATAGGCACGGTCAAAGATGCTCTGTCATCGCTGGAATGTTAAGATGCTCCATCTTTCGATCCGTCATGAGGATGGGGAAAAAATCCGGGGGCAGTGGAGGGGGGGTTTAGTCATGCTACATCAGTAGGTTTGCATAAAACATGTAAAATGATCATCAGATGCTTGGGTATCTTCCAGTAGAACCATTGCCGATGGCTCAAGGCTTTTTATTTCCAGGAACACCAGGGCTATTGCTGATCCCCAATTTGGCTTCCACCCCCACCACCCCTCCACCCCTCTCCTGGCACTGGGCCAGCCTCCTCTCCGAATTCCTCGCATCTGGTCCTTTCTGGGAAACACCCATGACGGGGACTGTCCGAGCTGCTGCTGCTGGGACCAGGGGGCTTTGTTTCCTGTGGTTTGCTGAAGAAGCCAGGAAGTCTTGTTTGGGGGAGGGGCTCCAGCACGTAGGGCAGAGTGCATGTAGACTTCTAGGGACTCCTTTTAAGTTGGCATTTTCGAACAGTGATTTAGGACATCGGCAGGATGTCTGGTGTTGTCGCACCGGTCAAGAACGAAAGGGCTGCTCTTCAGGACACCGATAGATCCACGTTAATATAATTGATATATCCCACCGGAAAAATATCTTACTTTTACTGCTGTGCAAAGTGAAAAATACAACTGATCCTGTTATATATTATTTTATTGTTTATTTTTTGATCCTTCTAATTGCTCTGCTCAGAGGCCATCATGCTGTGTTTTTTGTTTTACTAGACTTGTACGATCCTTTGAGGGCGGGGGGGTTAACTACTTAACACCTCGGGGGGCACGAGACACACCCTTAGCTGTTTTCCTCTGTCTCTATTTTAAAGTCCTGTGAATGACTCACTCACGCTCTCAATTTAGAAAGTGAATCAACGGGCTTCAAAGAGAGACCTAAGAACAGAGGAGCAGCAGATGGCTTTGCTTCCTGAAAATATTCGACAGACCCGGCTGCAATTCTTTTTTTTCCCATTTTTGTTTGAATAATCTTCATAGTCTTGACAAATCCACTTGAAATAGTCCGTCTCTCAGTGCGCTGCTCTGGGTGGCAAGACCCAGCTTGTGTCCACAGCAGGTCACAACTAATACAACCCTGTGTGGAGGTCACTTCACATCCTGCTTCTCCTTCCTTCGGTATGCCTCAGGCGTGGGGCTGACTTCAGTAGATGATGCGTCCGTATTAGCCAAACTAGAACAGAGACAGATACCCGCTTGTCTTCTCTCTCCCAGGTAACCGGTGCCCTGTGAAAGGTGTAGTTTCAAAACCTTTTTTTAAATTTGCCATTCTTTCTTTTATCATTCAATGAATTGCTTTTGTAAATAGTCCCACTTTTAACACAGCCTGAGGCGGATACGCAGTCTTGTGTTACTCTCGTGCAGGCGTTTGCATTGTTTGCTCCTAATGTTTTTTCTCGAGGAGGCATCATTTACAGCAGGAAACCCGACCTTTAGCCACACGAGGGGGAGGAAATTGGTGTGAAAACCGCTCCAAATTGACCTATTAGCCTGTTGTACTCCTTCAAAGTGAAAACCGAAAATGATGATCTCAGACACAGGGATGTCTGAGAGCTCGGTGGACTGCGTTATGAAGACACACGGATCCTTTCTGCCTCCGTGCCTTCCACAGGTTCTGTCTCCCAATGTGTCTTATCCCATTTCCTCTCCGCGTCTTACTTTCTATACTTTCTCCGCGTACCTTTGTCCGTCTCGCTGTCTTTGTTCTCTACTTTCTGCACCTCCCCAGAGGCTGACAGTTTATGTGTCTAGTTGATCCAGAGGCTGTTAATCTGGTAATCCGCAATCGATATCAGCCTCATCTCTTTCCGACAGATAAAAGTGGCTGATAATAATGTTTTTCTCTGTAAAGAAGCATGGCCCTTGTACACACATAGCTCTAATCAAAATTAAAAAACAAACAAACATTTGCACAATTTAGAGTGTGAGCGATTGAGAAAACAACGGCGCCTCTAAGGAGACATAGATTTCTTTGTACATCACCCTTATTACCTGAGTTTTTACAGAATGTTACAAAACTTAATTTGATTCAATTTTCCTTTTTTTTCCCCTTCTGAGTCTCTACTATTACATTTTGCATAATGATCATTGATGGATTGCTTTCAGGAGATCAATACATTCCTCAGATAGTCATTTCAGTACAACAGCACTTACAACGTAATACGTATTGATGCAGCACAAGTAACGATCAGTACACCAAGACGGCGTACTCTCCACAGCTGAACTCTCTTATCTGTGTCGTGTTACACATCCATAATTTGGTTATTATTGTTTGGGAAGGTAAACTCTGGACTATTTTCAGATGTGGAAATCTGTGTGTGTGTGTGTGTGTGTGTGTGTGTTTTCAGCGGGACCCCTGTCAGAAGATTAAAATGAAAAACAAGTCGATTTGCTAATTGTGTAAAATTAGGCTCAGGAACATTCGCTGAGGTAGCGCCAGGAGCTTAAGGTTAGTTTGTGTGTCTGTGTGATGAAATGAAAAAAGGAGGATGTTGGGAGCATCATGCTTTTTCCCCCGCATGTTTTTGATCCTCAGAGAAGTACGAGAGGAGCTGAGGTTGCTCGCTGACGGGACATTCTTGCAATGTTTTTGGTCACGGTCAATCAAAAGATTCATCTGTTGACGTCTTTTGATGTTGCACTGGAAGTGGTTTCCTCCTCACCTCCCTTGTGAGTGCTTTCAGATTGCGGCTGCTGGCTTTTCATGTCGTCTTTGTGATCTTGGCTCTTAAAAGTGAAGACTTGTTGACCCCGTCGTGAGACACGCCTATTTACTAGTTTTATGTTCTCTAAACCACACACAATCAAGCTATTAAAGTAGGCATCATCCTTAACATATACAAACAAACACAGATTCTAAAACGTTGAACATCAAAGTCTGTAAATCCAACTTCCCTGTATTTGAGATAAAATCCAACCCTTCACGTGAGGACAGTGTGCTCCAGCCGGTAGCTCCGTGTGCAACCAGTAGGGGGAATCGAACGCTCGCACTGACACCGTCTCCCCCCCACGCATCCCCCCTCCGTTTCCACTCCTCTTGCGTGCGTCCTCCCAGGTTGTGGAAACGCTGCAGCCCGCTGGTCCGTGTGTGGATCCCTCTCTCTCACAGAGCTGCTAAAGACCCTCCTACCGGCCGGGCTGGAAGGGGAGGAGGCGGTCCACTCCCGCTCGCAGCCTCGGACGAGCCCCCTTGTCAGTGTGGAGGAGAAGGAGAGAGAGAGAGAGAGAGAGAGAGAGAAAGAGAGAGAGAGAGGGAGCAACTGTGTGACAGAGGGAAAGAGAACAAGGCAGGCTGCTTAGAGGAGTGAGCGAGCCCAGGCTGAAATAAGCAACACATTTTACAAGTGCAGGAAGAGGGAGGATCGCAGACGAGGGACTCCTTCTCTACCGGCCACCTGGGACACGGTCACTGTGTTTTCTCCTCTCGCTCGTCTCCTTCCTGGATCCCTGTGGATTGCCTAACCAACCGGTGGATTTTTTTCCTTTTCTTCAAATTTTAACACACTGCTCGCGCCACACCGTCTGGGATCATTCCTCGGCGTTATCTGCACCGGACCCCCCTCCCGCCCGTGCCCCACACGCACCGGCTCCACGGCTGCAGATTGAGATTGCTTTCTTGCGTCTGCTCCGCGCACAAAGTGCAACTGTCGGCCATCCGGAGCTGAGGATATCTCCCCCTCTGTCAAACAGGACGGCACGCAGCCACCGTCGGATCAGACTACACAAGAGAGAGACAGAGAGAGAGAGACAGTGTGTGTATGCAAGAGAGGGACACAGAGAGAGAGAGGGGCAGTGACTGAGACCGAAGCAGATTAAAGCTCAGGCGAATCGACTGGAGTGAAACCGCTTCGACAGAGAAGTGAACCAATACGTCCGCTCTCGTTTTTTCCACGCCATCCCTTTCCTCCTCTTCTCCTCTTCTTCCTTCTACCATTTTCCAACATTCCGAGGACTGCCGGTCGCTTTCTGCCACCTGCGTCTTCTCTTTCCCCCCCCCCCTCTTCTTCTACCTCACCTGTATCGCAGGTTACTGTCCGGCCGCTGGCGGGCACAGCGCTCGTGGCTTCGGCACTTTGTGGAAATATTTCCATTGATTCATTGAAGAGTGAGCATCCGCCCCGACACCGAGGCTCTCTAGACCGGTGAGCTTCCTCATCAGCGGCAGACGTTCTCCCCATCTGCTGCCCGGCACGCTAAACACTCCCTCCCCCCTGCCCCCCCCCCTCCCGGCTCCCTGTACCCACCCCACCCACCCTGGCTAATTCCCTGGGGGAGCGGCCAGCGACACAACGGTGCGAACGGCACAGACAGGACTCGCACAGCCTCCCCCGCTGCCTTTGCCCCATTGCTAGCTACTTAGCAGCGTGTGCCCCCCCCTGTGTCACCATTCCCTGCTTTGGGGCTAAAGATTCCAGCTACATGGGCAAGCGATTGGAGCAGCAGCCAATGTACCCTCAGTACACCTACTACTACCCCCACTATCTCCAGACCAAGGTACGCTTGCTCGCATTCCTCAAGCCTACTCATCCACTCCTGCTCTCTATCTCCCTCCCTCCCCTCTAACCTCCCCTCCCACCCCCCCCCCACATCTCAACCCCCTAATCTGAGATGTCATTTGATGGATAGCCGGCCTTGGCTGTGACGGTTCCAGATGGCAGGTACCTCGTTGGTGTTCGGACGGCTATGTCGGCGTGTACGTTTTGTGTATGTGCGTGTGTGGTTGCGGGTATGTGTGTGTGTGTGTGAGTGTGTGCGTGTGTGTGTGCGTGTCTGAGGAAAGGATCAGGGATCAAGGCTTGAGTTGGTCCAGCCTACCAGACCGTTACCGGGAGCTGTCCAGTAAACTCCATCCATCACTCGCCTGCAAACTGATGAGATCTTGATGTGATGCCGCTCCGTGGCATTAGAGTGGATTCATGCGCTCAAAGGAACTGCCATACAGCTTTTAAAACAAATTAGAATAGGGGGTCCAAATTTAATTTCCTAATTGCATTCCATTTGCAAGCTGAATGTAGGCCATTGTTTGACAGCTCCTCGACGCCACCTTTCTTGATTGAAGCATTTCATTCTGAAGCCACAGTGCTTCACGAGGCCAGTACAAACTAGTTATGAGCCCTGGTTCCTCCACGGTGCCGGTCGGTGCGGCCCTGACGGAGAGGCTGCCTGTGTTTGCTCTAGCTGTAGTTTGCATCAGTGCCTCTGGGACGGGAGCCCAGGCGTGGGCCCCCGACGGCTGCCAGGACACTGGCTGGGCACACTACCCAGACCTCATCAAGGGATTAAAATGGCAGCCTTCTGGGGATTAAGCTTTTTTAGTTTTTTTCTATCACATGTGCAACACAAAATTCTATCTATTTGTGACGATGTGACAGCATGCTGAACGTGCAGGTTGAACTTTGAGCCATGTGCAATACTTTAGTCTGATTTGGTTGGTTGATTGCTATTGTATGTAAATATTTTTATGGTAGATGTTTCCTTTTGCATGTAAGGAGGAATAGCTTCCAATGGAAGGGTGTAAAACCTCAGCACGGTACCGACCCAAATCACAGTGGAAGTGGAAGTGGGTCTTGAAGCATCAACCTTGCTTACTTTTTTTGAGGAAAAAAGTATATACTCTATTTGGGAATTTATCCAACTCGTTATTCAACATTGAAGCATCGAGCAAAAGATAAACATTTATTGAGCACATTTTTTTAAAAAGTGTTTTTCGGTTCTAATAGCTGTTTTATTGTGTCAATCATTTCCAAGTGCTCCGCTGGCTAAAATCAATGTTAAAATGTGAGAAATGCCCCCTATCCATAACAAGGGATGAGGTAGATAGCGAATATAGATATAGATGATAAAGTACAATAAAGCAAACTACCAGTTTAGATCTGTCTTCACGCGCAGCTGGGTTATGAGGCTGAAGCCCCCACGAGCAGTCCACTCGCTCTCACCCTGATTTATAGTTTAATACAGTTGTGCTGCTGCCATATGGCTTCCCTCACCCTCCCACCCCCCTCTGCAACTCCGTCCATCACCCCCCCACTCCTCCCCTTCTCATATCTCAGAGTTGCTCATCTCGGGGGCCTCTCAATCAGGCCTCCATTCTCCCCTCCCTCCCTCCATTCCTTCCACTTTTCTTTTTCCCTCGTCCTTCCTCATCCCGCTTTTCTGCCTGCCTGCTCTGTTTCCCCCCTCCACCCCCAACAACCACCCCTCCTCTCCTCCGCCGCCTCCTTCTCCCATGCTGCGGTTCATTCCCAAGGTCAGCGCAGATCCCATCTTGCCACTGTCAGCGATTGATGTATCCTTGAGCGAGCCACTCGAGTCCTGTGTCATGCAAACGAGGCCCACAGTTTGGCCGTGGGTGGGTGCGGGGGGGCGGGTGCAGGGAGGCGAATGTGCAAACATCCATATTCATTTTCATGGTTAGTTAGCCTAGCCGGAGGCCATCGTAGGTTGATACAACGGAGCCGCAGACGGGGTCAGCATGCAGAAGGGAGGCGGGGAGAGAAGCCAGAGGGGGCCGAGTGGGGGGGGGGGCTGTGGAAAGCCGTCCAACATGCTCATTAACGTCCGTTGATGGCTCGGTTGCAGAGGGGGGAGAATGCCCCCCCCGCTCCCCCCTCCTTATTTATTTTTTGCGCACCATGCTACGATTTAGTCACCGGTCCCAAATCACACAGGTCCCTCGATTTATCTTCATTGCTGCATTCTCAAGGTATGGCCTCATTTTCCCAAGAGATGTCAGGGGGCGGGGGAAAGGGGCCGGGTGGTTACTCGTACTAAAGTGTCGCCATTCTCCCTCTCTTGCCTCCATTTTATGACATATTTGAGATTCTATGCATTGCAAATTCATAGAACATTTGTACTCGGTTACAGCTGAGGAAGGAGCTAACATGGTCTGGATAAACTGAGGTGCCTGCTGAATTTGCGATCCCTTTACAGCCTTGCATGTCTGTATTATATTCCAAATTAAGGGCGTTCTCTGATGTCGTCCAGCAGGAGCTGCTGAACCCAGATTAGAATGTGAAAGTCAGAGAATGAGATGAAAAGATAACATTTGGCTTTCTATTGATTAGTGCAGCGGGGCGTAGCATGTGCTTCTCTTTAGCTGAATTATTGATTCCCGAAAGAGGATTTTGTGTGTCTGTGTGTGCATGTCGGCGTGTCAGTGTGTGTGTGACTTTTATATGAGGTTACGGCTGGTGGGGAGCTGGCAGGATGCTGCTTTGACGAGGGGATCCTTTTAAAGGCCCAAATGTCTGCCTATTCACCAGCCGATCAGTCCACGCCGTCACTTGCAGAAATCCAGCCTGCACTCGGCCGCTGTATTACCGCGCCAGTTTTTTTTCGATGCGTTTCGCCGGTTGCGGCGTGCTGTGCATTCAACTTTAATGACAGGTAATCGACGTGCATCGTAATTGAGAAAATTACAGCAAAACTGCCCCGGGCCCCTCCCCTCTCCCACGAGGACCGTTCAAGCACACGGCTCAATTATTGTTATTTCATCATAGCGTTTGGGAAAGAATATGAATTTCAGCTTGACGTGTGCACCTCGTGCCCGTTGGTCTCGGCGTGCGCCGCATCTCATCTCATTTGTTTTGCCCTCTTTTGCCGTCATTCTCACCACGCACACGCCTTTTTAATGAAGACCTGCCGTGTTAGTTGTGCCCCTGTTGCGAAATGTGCGTGTTTGCCGTTACTTTGTGCACACGAGGCACCTGACACCGCTGTACCTCTGCGACGCTACACCACCGATTAGATGCCAAATGTCAGGGGTCTCTCTCACACACACACACACACACACACACACACACACACACACACACACGGACTGCCATGGTGTAGGCACAGCTTCTCACACACACTTGCGCTGCGATCTGGGAGGGGGCATGCGTCTGTGTTACAGTCGGACTAGCACATGCGGATCGCGAGAAGCCAAGAGGGGCGGATTGAGGTAGACTTGGCGGTCCCCGGCCTAAAGTCAACACCAGTCAATGGAGCCCTTTGAGGCGGTCTGTGCCTGCGTCTGCCCCTGCCATAGGCCCCGCTTACACCCTGCGTAATGCTTTGCAATCGGAGGGAGCGATGGAGATGAAGGGGCGCTTGCGTGAGAAAGAGAGCCGGAGGGGTGGGGTGGATGTTACAGGGAGGGGCCGGTCGAGACCAGGGAAAAGGGTTTGGTTACATTACACGGGGTGCTCCATTGTGCTCCAGAAATAACAGCGGAGCCGTGTAAATCCTCCTCTAATGCCACGAGGAAAAAGAGACGCTGCGAGACAACAAGGGGGAGACGGATATACATAGACACGGGGAGCAAGAGAAAATCAAAGGCATAGAACAAGGACCACTCTCCAAAGTCTTTCATTAAATCAGTTATCAGTGACGTAAAAACTCAGCGATGGCAGCTTAAGGCCCTCCGTCTCCGCTGATGTGGATCCGCTTTGAAGAGTTTATTGAGGGCTCTTACGGACGGGGAAAAAGGCACCTCTTATATTACATTGACATAAAGCCCGGCCCTATTTTGAGCCGGGGACGATACGTTCTGATTAGCACTAACACAGGGGGTAGTATAAGTCATTTCCTTCTCGTGTAATTCCTGATACATGCCTCACGACTGACTGCCCGAAACAAAATACTGTCCCGGACTCGCCATAAATCTTAGCCCATCGTGTGTTCTCTCTTACTGGCAGGCTTTTTAGCAAGAGATCTGTCTTTGGCAGCCTTCTGATCATTAATAAACTAATATCCCTGTTTTTTTTTTTTTCATCTTGCAGCTTTGTCCCGCCGCACAATCCCTCCCGGTGTAGCTATCAGTCAATGGGGCAGACGACTTGCTTTGGCCATGTACATGCACAAACGTGCGCGCCACTCAGGCGGCAAGGGTTACTCTCGACTCTCCTCATCTCTCGGCTGACAGCTCGGCCCCCGCCTGCGCACCCACACACATTCATGTGTACACGCCATTGCCTCGCGGGCCTCCGGATAAGCCGCCGAGACCCGTGCGCTCTGCACGCCACCGTCCACATCTCATTACAGCGAGTGCTCCCTCAACACGGGGAGACATTTAGTCAGAAGTGCATAGGAGGGGGGTGTAGCAGGAGGGAAATGAAACTGCAAGCATTTTATTTTTAATTTCTATAGGCAGATGGGAGGAGGCCGCACTAAGACTGAAGCACAAGGGGTTGGTTATAAATGCCGAGGCGACGTTACGCGCGTGCTGACGTTGCAGTTTTTTTACGAGTACAGATGGGGCACGAGCACCTGCGCGCTACAGTCAGTATAATTTGTGGAGTCGTGGACAAAGCACCTGCACGTGTGCACTGTGTGCTCAGTGAGGGTTCCCCGGCTTCTAGAGAAGGTCTCAAAAACCAGGTCCCATCAGTCCTCCACAACCATAGTCCATAGTTGCGTTGAAGTGTCCGTGAGAAAGACACGGAACAAAGTACCGGCTCACGCACTTGGAGGTCGCTGCGAACGGCGGCATCCGTGGATGAATGCCTGGAATG